ATCCGTCCAGCCGAAAAGCTGGGATATAGCCGAGGTTGGGATACAATAGGGGGGATACAAATGAGGTAGGACTGTATGTAAAATTATATGCGGATTGATTTTTAACGATTTTTTAAATATTCGATTCGCATACCCTAATTTTAACGTTTTTCGTTGAATAGAAGTCGGCTCTAGGTAAATTCGTAATTTTACTATGATAATTGCATTGCTCGTTATGCCAGTATTCTCATTCAACCACAAACGTAGGGGGTGGTCGGTGACTTTTGAGACGGGAGTGTATAATCGACGGTACGGCAGATTATATATATAATCTGCGTCAGATCACCCCAAAACGTGAATTATATATATATTATTTGATTTACTCCACCCCAAACATGTGGTAGACGATTTACCCCTCCCAGAATTGCATTAGACAAACGCTTTATTATCCAAACTAACTAGTTACATATCTCTCAATCATATTGATACACATTATCGTTTACATGCTTAAGAATTTCGACAGTTAGAACTTGTTTTATGATAATCTTGATTAAAGTTACGTATAAAAGATAACACACAATGTACATCATACGATCCGTTCTTCAATGCATCATACGATCAACTCTTCAATAGCGACATAGTCTGTCGGCGAATAATCTTGATTAAAGTATCAATCAGTTGAATTGCTACATATAGAAGATAACACACAATGTACATCCGCTCTTCAATAATGACAACGAATAGTCTATCAACTGTTGAATTGCTAATTGCAGATGTCAAACAATGTATTCATACGATATTCTTCAATCATAATTATACGATCAATTCTTCAATAATGACATACTGTAGGCTGTCGGCGAATTAATCTTGATTAAAGTATCAAACAATTGAATTACTACATGTCGAAGATAACACAGCGTGCTATCATCATACGATCCGCTCTTCAATCATTGATGTATCAGACAATTAGATAGTAAGGGACCGATGCGATGCTGAAGAGAAAGGAGAGCAAAGGAATAAAAGTGTAGCCAATACGGTATATTTGGACATTAGAAGAAATGAACTTAATAAACACACGAAGAAAGTCCTAACTTAGTACTGGCAATGAACGCTATTCAGATAATCATATTTCTGTTATGAGTATTGTTATTTTATCAGCAGCAATTTTTGGGGTAAATCGTTTACCACATGTTTGGGGTAAATCAAATAATATATGGGGCGTGCTGCAACGAACAAAGTGAACTTGTGACGTCATGTGGTGGCGTTGGGGAATTTTTGCCGCGCATACGTATTCTCGTTTACGCTTTTCTTTTGAGAATTATTTGCCTCCAAAGAGAATTCATCCGATGTTTGGACTCACTTTTATGTGCTTTGTTCAACGTAATTACTAGCACCTAGAAAGCTCCTGGTCATTCCCTCTCCACATGTTCGGTGCTTACATTCGACAAGCCGGCCTCTGTATCAAACTGAGCTCAACTATTGTGAGTACATGCTGAGGAACATGTATTGTATATTCTCGTACGATTTGCTTTGCTCATTATGCACGTGCTGATTCTGTTCAGAAATTCATCCAAATACAAGTGAAACTTCCATCCATCCGTCAAAGGTATATAACCCAATCTGTGATAAATACATGCTTTCATGCTTTGCAAGGAGAGAGTACTTGCTGTTGCCATTGTATTTCACTCATCCAAATTCTATTTTTAAACTTCAGCTCATCAGTACCTCAGTCTTATTCGCATCGACTCCCTAAGTTGTTCTTCCATAACGCTTCCTGGAAAAGTGCAGGCATTGCAGGTTATCATTCGACAGACACAGATATGGTGCCCCCAAAGGCTTGGTTCAAACTCTTGTACCCTGAAAGTGACTGGGACAAAGTTTCGTTGGAGGAAGTTGAAGATGTGACAGACCTCAAGAAGGCAATCAAGAATGAATCGCCCCGTAAACTTGGTGCTTTTGATAATAGTGACCTCACTCTCAGTGCCACAGTGAAAGTTGATGATGCTAGTCAAGCAATGAAATTGGATGCACGAAAAGGTCTTGCTTCGATTCTCAAGGACTTTGATGTGAGGACCCTAGATGAAGATATTAATATTACTTCAGTCCATAAATCCTTTGCTGAAAACATCTGGCTTTTTGTCACTGCTCCTGCTGGTAAGTAACCTCTACCTAACTATCATACCATTCCTGTTCTGACATGTTTTCTAACACCAATCTTTTTCTACTAGCTCTTCTGTCAATACTTGTGAAGCAGGATATCACCTGTGTTTTTCCCAATGGTATGGATTCAGCAATGTCTAAATACCTGTTTTCATCATTAGCCTTTGCCCATAGCTTATTTTTCTTCTATGTAGGCTTGCCTATATGTGCTGCCAAAACCCCTCCTTTACAGTTCAGGATTGGTTTGGGAATATCAAACTAGTCCAGAATTGCTAGAAACCTTACGAAGTGAAATTAAGCAGCATCATGCACACTATCAAGCTGGAGAGATTGATAAAATTTACATGCCACTCTATCTTTTCCTTGCTGGTGCTGATACGGGAAAATCCTGAAATGCCTCTGAATTCCACCAGACAGCAGTCAAATGTCTGGGTGATGAAGATGAGAAACTAAAGAACAAGCTCCAGAATGCCTGGGTATTCCATGTCAGCCTTGAAAATGGCTCCGGCTTGAGAGTAGATGAACCAGATCCATTCCGAGCTATTGGCAATCGAATGCTTCTGCAACTTTTCCCAGGGAAAGAACTCAAGCACATCATTGACAGTTATGAAGCACCAGATCCATGGACAGTTTTGGAATTGGTTGCCAAACATGAGAAACAGGAGCTGAAGGATGCTACAATTATTGTGGTTGTGGATGGCATGCAGAATCTTATGGCCTCATATGAGGATGGGCTGAGGGCAGATTCTCGGTTTTACCGGACCCTGACATCTATTGGCGATCTTGCACATAAAGGTGCTTTTCTACTCCCCTGCTGCACAGCAACAATCTCTCGCCCATTTGAGTATGGCTTGAAACCCTCCATTCGAAAACGCATATTTCTACCAGTCATTTCCTTGAAAACTCCCTCTATCCTTCAAGATGATGGTACCAAGCAATTGATCTTTAAAGAGGACAATACCATTATGAAGCTCCTTGAAGGAGACTGTGGTGGGCATGCAAGGGCTGTCGAACTTCTATGGAATCTTTCAAAGGGACTTGACTTGGACAAATGTAATGTTGGTGGTTTGATGCGCACACTGCAGATTAAGATTGTCAAACTTTATAAGGGTGCCTTTCCCAATAATGATGAGGTTGAAGCTATTGCACGGGCAGTATTGACTCACCAACGCTTGGCAAGCAACAAGTATATTCCAAATACACAAAAATTTCCTGATCAAGTCGTTGAACCTGGACTTATTCGATATGAAAAAAATCATCACAATTACGGATATCTCCATATGCCATATATATGGCTCTGGGCGATAGCAGAAAAAGCTGGTGGGGAATCAATTCTTCCAGGTTGGAGATTTGATGACTATGATGGACATCTGGCCAAAGAAGATCAGACATTGCCCTCAGGCTGTTCTTGGGAAAATTTTGAAAAATTCAATGCAAGATTCCACAGCATGAAGTCCTTTGCTCAAGAAGAAAACCAGTTGATACTTTGTTCAACTAACTTTTGCTTCCCAAACAGCCTTTGAAACTTATCTCAACCAATCTCCCATCCAAATTAACAACAAACCCATCCATCTCTCTCCTCCTTACAATTACCCTTGTAAATCCCTGGTTATTCACTTACATGACCTCCCTATAGTTCAAAAATCTGTCATTCACAATGCCATTAACGCCTCACTGTCTCCTTTCTGTACTGTAAAGGAAATTGCTCCAGTTGTGTTTTGTCGTGCCGACTACTGCGGGAGAGCAGAAAGTAATCGACACTTGGGATTTAACTAGTCTCGACAGAGCGCGCCTCCTATTCAAGTTAAATATCTAATTGTTCAGTTAGTGACCTTGTAATCGCAAGGCTTTTCACTGACGGGCTTTTTCACCGTAAAATGACGTCCCTAGATATAGAATCGTCCTCGAGTATTCGGCGGTTATTACCGAGGGATTAAACTGGTAATCTCCCGTTTGGGGTACAATAGTTTATCACTTAGATTTAACGCGTTTGAAAGCTAACGATTAAATATCCTAATTCGCCACTCAGATAATTGCGGGACAAGAGGCAATTATCCTTGGTTGATATACGGATAAAACGGTTTCTCAGTTATATCAACTAATTTAGAGAATAGGGTCAAATAATATAAGTTCAGAGTAAATATGGTACTCGTTTATGAACAATAAGGTATGAATTATAAGATACTATGCGAAACACTGCGAACATAACACACATAACACACCGACTCTAGCTGAAACTCCTACTGCTTATATATCTTTTGAACGGTCTAATTGATCTATTTTTAGCAGTTACTTCTATTATTCCTATCGATAGTCTATTAGTATACGTTTGAATAAACTGAAGCATTCTGGTAGTGCTTTTGCACTGTTCTGCCACTACCCGTATTACTAGTGCCGAAATGTACGTAATAGTAACACCGGTAGTACTACCTATTCTTGAAATCCGCAGCTGCGCTGGTAGAAATAAGGAGAGAATACGTCACCGATCGCGGCGCATCATAGTTTACTGGCTCAGATATTCTCACAACAAAATGCTGTCTCTCCCCAGAAGATTCCTGTACATCTTAATATTCTTAACTGTCCTATTGCTTGTAAGGCTCCTGGTCACTCTCATCATGTTTGTCCTCAACGTAAAATTCGTCTTTCTCTTAGACCACCAAATGATGCAAGAACCTATGCCCAAGCTACTTCCCAACAATTGAATCATAAAACTAATCTTCTTTCCCAATATTCTTCTTCCACTCCTTTGTTGCAACCTAATTCTCAGTCTACATCATCTATGCTTCCTACCACTACTACACAATCTACATCTTCTAACCTAGTCTTTATTGATGAAACACTCACTGCTATGGAATCTGTCATGTCTACATCTTCAGAAAAATCTGATAATGCCAATTGTTTTGATTCTGAGATGACTCTGAATAGTAATTATGAAAATACTTATGAAAATACTAACAACCTAAATGTGAATAAAACTTCAGATGTTCAAACCAGCAATGATACTAAACATAATGATGATAACTCTGATACTAACATGCAAACTGATACTAACATTGATGTTATCAATTCCTCTCATTTATCTCCCAAACTCTCTTCCTCTGCATCTCTTAACTATGCTCCCCTGTCCTCACAGAATTCAGATCCAAATGACACTAATTCTTTTCACACAGTTACAAGATTGATGACAGTCCCAACAGTTGTATCTTTGAATGTTAATGGACTCTCTTCACACCATAAACTACAATTTATCCTTTCTAAACTCTCATCTTTCAATCCTCACATAATATGCCTCCAAGAAACATTTACAGCACAATCCTCATTTCCATCTGATTTTCAAATCTCTCTTTTTAAGTCTTATGGCCTGGTCAATTCTATGCTACTAAACATCTAATTACTCTAATTCATCCTTCATTTTCATCTAGGATTATTTTTACTTCTCAAGATCAATAAATTATGGATATTTCTATCTTCTCTTCATCTTGTTCATATACAATATTGTTACGGCAAGCCGATGTGAGTCACATGATAAAATCTTTCTCCGCAGTCAAGCAAAATCCCATGATCGACGTTAATTTTAGAATGGTAGTACGGCGTTGCGTTTTAGGCACCGCGTCGAATTTTGAGTGTCAGCACAAACGCAATTAGCTAACTTAGAAAACGTTTCGATTTTTGCGTGTCAGTACAAACA